AGATCGTTAAACTGAATAGCGGGCAGAGGAAGAATATGCACTTGTTTATCGGGCTGGCGTTTCGGATCCTCAATGAAATCTATCATTAGAGACAGTTGCAGAAAGAGGCCTGCGACTACTGCTTCTGAATGGCTGGCGCCAACCACATCACCTTGTTTAGATTCGTCAAGGGCGCTTGTCGTAAAACCGGCCCAGAGTGGAAAAGAACGGAGGGCAGGGGGGGGTGGCTATCGGGGTGTTTCAATATATCCTACAAGTTACTAAGTAAGAATCTACCGATAACGCTAGCTTGAAAACTCTGCATGAATGACACGGCAAGTAAAACACAAAGTAATACATAAAATCATAAAGTGCGGGAGCATGCCAGATGTCGAGGCGACTGAGAGTGCCAGGGAATTACTGTTTTAAGACAGGAGAGTTTGCTTCGAGGTGGGTGGCCGGTGGTGGGCAGTTTGTAAAACTCTGCACATTAGCTGCGCTGAACGACCTGTCTTCGCAGAGAGCACAAATAACAGATCAATTTATTATTAAAAGGAGAAAGAACGAGCATACTGGTTGGTTATGGTTACGGGCAAAACAACAGGGATACCGAGCGGCCATTTCTGTCTTATTTACTACCATCGGGCAGTCCCAACTAAAGCTACCAGTCTGAAAACGGATTCAGTTCACCGATCCATTGTCTATTAGGAGAAATTGAAAAGCAGACAAAAATGGGAGACTTACGGAGTGTGGGAATTCGATTCTCAGCCTCTTCCTTCGCAAGCGTCAGAAGCATCTCCTTTTGCAGCTGCTGCTCGCGCTTTCGAGAACGAGCTAGAAGCAAGTCAGACATTTCGTCCAACGTCTTTTGGCTGACAGTCGGGGGCTGCAAATCCAACTCAACAAAATAGAAGGGACGGCCAATGGGTAAATGACTCAGGTACCGGTACCTCCTTCGAAGATCCTGAGAGAATAAAATAATTTGACAAATCGATGAATCCATAGTACTTGGCGGACAACGATCTTACTAAAAATGCTGCTGCCGTATGGTTCCATTTTAGTGAATCACAGATACCAGCGTTTTAAATTGCATACGACTAAATTAGGACCGAATATGGCGAGATAAGGCTCTATGTATGGTCGAAGAACCTTTAAGACGGGAGACGTCGGTCTTGTACTTGTACTTGTAACGGCTGCGATCATGACTGATCTAGCCGGCCTC